TTACTTGTAAGATTACAGACAGATTACATGGTATGTGGTTTTCTGTTTCAGGCTTGGTAGAGTTTGTAGTGATGTGGATATTAGTACAACTTGTAAGATTACAGACATAGAATACATGGTATTTGGTTTTCTGTTTCAGGCTTGGTAGAGTTTGTAGTGATGTGGATATTAGTATTACTTGTAAGATTACAAACTTAACTTACATTATGTATAATTTCCCTTGCAGGTTTGTTGTAGTTTGTGGAGATGGAGAATATATTATTTATACTGCAATGGCTCTCCGAAACAAAAGTTTTGGAACAGCTCAGGAATTTGTGTGGGCACTAGATTCTTCGGAATATGCTGTCAGAGAGAATAGTTCTTCTGTGAAAATATTCAAGAACTTTAAGGAAAGAAAGTCATTCAAACCAGAGTATGGAGCTGAAGGCAAGTTTAGAATTTTAAAATACAAAAATCTATCTGGCTATTTTGTAATATAATGCAACCTGTTTATAGTTGTTGTTTTTTATCTCATAGCATTGGTGTAAATGAAGATGTGATAGCTGTCTGTTTCAGGCTTTCCAACATTTTAGTTCTTTTTTTCTCTTAATATTTTTCTCATCTTTATCTTCCATTTTCCCAGCTTTTTTTTATATAAAAGGACTAACTTTCTGCAAGAAGCAGGTATTGGGTCTGCATATAGTTTTTTTACATTTTTAATTGAAATATTATACTACTGATAAGCCAGTTTCCTGTTAAACAGTTAACTTTCTCTGGATGATTGCAACTTCATCACAGTGCTCAGTAGCTTGTCTTGTACCAGTCTCCAGTAATGTAAACAGGAGCTCTTCTTCCTCATCCAAGCTAATAGAATAGTGGAAACATATCCTTAGACACACACGGGTATTGAAGCTGGCTTTGGATACAGATGTGATATCACATATTCTTCCTACTGTAATGTTTGTGTACAGTTGCATTTGTGTCTGTGTCAGTTGCTGTCGCCTCTATGAATAGAAATGTGAATTATGATGCTGTAGGATTATAATGCAACTGCCAGGGTTTTTAATATGGGCTGGGATTCTTCTACAGTAGATGCCTGTGACTTGTTGGCAATAAATATCAACAATAAATGGACAGCACACAATCCACTTGTTTTAAAATAATATATTCCAAACAAGTCAAATGTATGTACAAAAATTCTTTACACTATAGGATATCACAGTTGTATCTAAAACTCTAAATAATTCTCTTTTCTTGTCAAAAGTCCACGCAGCCTGTTTCAATTACTTTAGAATCCAATTGAGAAGACAAATTATTTTTCTCTACTCTGTTTCTTACTGTACAATCTGTGATAAATTTACATAAATTTCCCTGTGGGTTACCACAACTGCATCCAGAACTTTAAGTAACTGTCTCCTTTTCGTTGTCCACACAGGTGGGTTCAATTACTTTAGAATACCCTTTGACAAGACAAGTTATTCTTCTTATTTTGAGATTGGTAGTGTAAAATTGGCTATGCTGGTGGGCAATTTAACTTACGGACATCAAAAGGTGTTCAAATCTCTATTCATAATTTAAAAATGGAGTATTGGAAAGCTTTGTTTGGGAATCAACCCACTAAACATGTCTACCTGACTCTCCGACTGGGTGTTGGATTAAATTCCATTGTATTTATAGTATGCCTTCACTTAACCTACCTCTGCTCTTTGAAAGTTAAAATGTCACTGTAGCCAAACACAGATACATAGATGGATTTATTCCCATTTTGTAAATAGACAACAGAGATTTTAACTAAATTATTTGTTTAGCGCTACTGCAGAAAGAAGATTCACTTGTTTGGTAAAAGATATGATGTAACAAAAATATCGAGTACTGAAACACAGTTTATACATGAAAGTATGTTTGTAATTCCAGGTATATTTGGTGGTCACATGCTTGGAGTGAAATCAGTCAGTGGACTAGCATTCTATGAATGGGAATCTTTAGAACTAGTGCGAAGAATAGAAATTCAGCCAAAGCATGCAAGTTGCTTTTTAATTTGTTTAAAATTATCATACCATTAAATTCTTTAGTATTGATAGTTCAAGTTATGAACATTGCTTAGTCTTAATGAATAGTATTTTATAACCTAATAGTTTTACTGAACATAATGAATTTAATGAACACTGTGTGTAGATCTTGTGATAAAATTTTAACAACTTAATAATAGTTTTACTGTAATTGTAACTTGTTATTAATAGTTCAAGTAATTCTACAATATACATTTTAGTAATGTATTAGTTTCACCAAAATTAAACATTGATTACTGACAGTTTAACTGAAGAATGTTGTCTGTATTCTCAACAATACACACTTTAGTAAGCTAATAGTTTTACTGTAATTGTAACTTGTTATTGACAGTTTCACAAACAAATATCTGTGATATTTATTTTAGTAACCTACTACTTTTATTGTACTCTTAACATGTTATTAATAATACTGGTTGACAAAATTGAACGTTTTTTCTCACACCAAAGATATAAACACACTTTTCTATGTTAGTTTTGCATGCTGATTCCAAATCTGTTTTCGGTTTTCTTCTAGCATATGTAGTTATCGAAATATGACTGGTGATAATTTCAGCACAATTTAGGTAATAATCACACATTAGGCTAGTTAACGTTACAAATTTATTCATTTTTCAGTATAATTCCCATAAACATTATACATACCATACTTTTGGTTAAATTTATACAGTACACGTTTACAAAAAAAGAAATGTACAACAACTTAGATTATAACTAAGGCAATAACCTTTGAAATTTGATTGGTCTTGTCACGAAACCTTTACGTGCTAGAGGAAAACCAAAAATAGATTTGGAATCGGGATTCCAAGAGCTTTTTAGCCCACCTATAATTATATCTGATGAAAATTACTTGTTGGCCAGTGTAGTTTAATTGATTTTTTCCTTAGTATTATTATTCTAGAGATGAAAAATTTAGATTTAAATATCAAGTTAATTAATTCTGATTAATCCTGTAGTAATAACAACTATTTTAGGACTATCATTACTGCTCATTACTTATGTCTGTAGAAGATACAAGTATGAAAGTTATACATTTGTAGTTAAAATATTTGACTATATATTTGAAAATACTACAAAATTGGACATATTTTATATGTATATAGAGAAAAAAAAAGTAATGAAACACCAAAGTTCTTGATTCAAAGTCTCGTGTTGTCTTTATACAGATTCTGAAAAGTCAAAGAAAAACTATCCTAACTAAATTTTTATATGAGATTATATATAATTAGTCATATATGTTAACTCTCTCTTCATGGGCATCTTTTTCTCTGCACTTTATGAGGTTTTAGAAAGTTGCATTCAAAATTTAATTAATTACTTTCTCTTCAATATAGCATAAAAATGTAGCTAATAATCCATATTATAATAGCATATAAGTTTTAAGTTCTTACATTCTTACTTTTATAAGCCAATATAAAAAAACTAGAATTTCCCATATTGTGAGAATTGTGACATTTACTCTCTAGGCATTCCCTCTTCTCTAATTTATTTACCACCCCTCCAAGAAGTACAAAGTTTAAAATAAATTACTTATTATAATATTTACATCACATGATCAAAGCATAATTTTTGTAGCCTTCAGTTTTATTTTGTTACAGAGCTATGAAATAGACAACCAGAACCCTCTTGCCACAGCCACCTGTTACATCCTCTCTTTCAGAAATTCGCAATAGTTCTCTCTGATGTTTAATAACGATATTATTTATAACCAATAGAAAGTCGATGTTTTCATCCATCAAATGACGTATTATATTACATTGTTTTCTGTAAAGAGAATTGCCAATTTCACTTTCAGTTCAAGCTTGATTCCCACAGGAAACACATCGATGAGCTTTATATGAAGTTTTAACAGCTTTTGTTGCATAGTTATAAAGTCAGAAAATTTGTGATAGTTATTGGACATTGTCTGCTTTTTGCACATTATTACTCTGTGTTCTTTGGTGCATTATTCAATTAAATAAAAATTATTTAGTGTGGTACTACCATTAGTATAAAAAAGTAGGGTTAAGTGTCATCGAAAGTCAACAGCAAAAAAATAAAGACTTGGGAGATATACTTTTTTTCATGTTTTTCTTGTGTATTCTATATCTATTATTATAAAAGTAACTAAAATATAAAAATAGGGAACTTTTTGTGGACATTAAGATTTAAATAAATTATAATAATATAATAAAATTTTTTCACGAGTTATTCTTGTGAGTAACTAGTGCGTAATGTAATTAAATAGTGTAATGTGAGTTGCATGTTCACCAAGTGGTTTACAACTTATAATAGCACAAGTAGTAGCTAGACAGGGTTCAAAAGGGAAATAAAACAAAAAAATTTATGTATAAATAAATGTACTGTTATGAGTTTAAAGCTATCTATGATAAACAAATGTAATTTCTTATTATAATTTGACATTCTAGAAAGAAAGAAAAAGGAATTTCAAATTTTTTTGGTGGTTACAAGGTAGTGAAATTGACAAACCTTGTATAAAATTAGGGTAGAGAAAATAACAGATAAAATATAATGTTTTACAGAAAGAAAACGTTTGAAATTTATTTAGAAGGTTTTAGAGGTTATGCAAATAATATTTGAGGTTTTGAAGAAAAGTATATGGAAATCACTTAGCACACTCGAACTAGTATATAGAAATATTATATATATTCACAGACAAATATATAGTACAAGAACTTCATTAAAAAATCTGATTTTTTGTGAACAAAAGAATGGTAATGTTTACTAAAAGTCTACAAAATCTGGTGAAGATACACAAAGTTTGTTAGAAGTTATAGTATTGAAACTATAATGAGTACAATAGTGATTATTCACAGACAAATATATAGTACAAGAACTTCATTAAAAAATCTGATTTTTTGTGAACAAAAGAGGGGTAATGTTTACTAAAAGTCTACAAAATCTGGTGAAGATACACAAAGTTTGTTAGAAGTTATAGTATTGAAACTATAATGAGTACAATAGTGATTATGAGGTCTGTCGACTTCGTCGTGAAAGGGTTAATGTTCTTTGTTAGTTCAATGTACTGAAAATTAAGATTTCCTATTTGTAATTCTATATTTGAAATAAAGCTGTCATAGCTAACAAGGAATACAAAAGCTACTTCATATTGACTAGAAAACTTGTATATACGTTTTTTACTTTTGTCAGGTTTATTGGAGTGAGTCTGGTGAACTGATCAGCATTGCTACAGAAGACTCTTTCTATGTTCTAAAGTACAGTCCTGATGCTGTTACCAAGGCAAAGGAAACAAAGGAAGGACTGTCTGAGGATGGAGTTGAAGATGCATTTGATGTATGAAATGAATTATTTTTTTAAAATGAAAAGTGTGATTTCTTTTAAAAGTAGAATAAGGTGTTTCATATGAACCTATACAAACATGTTGGTGGCCTCTTCTGAAGCTTAAGAATGTTACTTGAAAATACATCAATACAGTTAAGTTCCATGTGTGTAAAGTTTTACTTTCTGGAAGTTTAAATAGATACAGTTAAGCTCCATATTTATGAAGTTTTACTTTCTGGAAGCTTAAGTTAATGCAGTTAAGCTCCACCAAAGTTTTACATTCTGGAAACCTTGTGTTTTCCTGTTATTAGTGAGAAAAACTGAGTAAGCAGCTAATACTGAATTTGTTTTGTTAATTGTTATTTTTTTATGTGTTGAAAGACATGGCCATTTGAGTTTGCAGAAGTTACTGACAAAAGTTTGGTTTCTGACAACCTGATAGGTGTTGGGAGAAGTACAAGAAGTAGTGAAAACTGGTGTTTGGATTGGAGACTGTTTCATTTACACCAACAGTGTTAATCGTCTCAACTACTATGTAGGAGGAGAGATTGTAACTATTGCCCATCTTGACAGGTTTGACTTAATTTTATTGAAGTGACTCTGAAGTAGAAGGATAGATCATTTTGGTATAGGAATTTTTATGACAAAATTAAATTAAAATATTTTTTTAATTAATAACTTATTTGAAAGAAAATATTCTCTGTAAAAAAAAAAAACAACAACTATGAATTTTGTATGGACATTTTTGAACTTTATGAGAATTTATGAATTAGATGAAGGCACCTCCAGAAACTTGACATATATTAAAGTAAACAATATGTGGCATGGGATTTCTTAGATTTGTAGAAGAAATCTAGCCAAGTAATTTATACTGAAAATCATTTACCCTTTCATTGCAGCTAGGATGTATATTTCCCAGCACACTGGGAAATGTACATCCCAGCTGCAGTAAATGGGTTAATATAGATTGAGATAGACTGAGTTTTGTCAACCTAGAAAACAATACAGACTAAAACAGGCTGGATTTTATTAATCTGCTAAATAATGAAGACTGAAATGGGCTGATTTTTATGAACCTAGAAAACAAGCTGGACTTTGTTAATTTAGAAATAAAGGCAGATTGAAACTAGGGTGGATTTTATTAAACTAGAAAACAATAGACTGAAATAGGCTGAATTTTGTCAATTTGTAGGTTAATGTAGACTGGATTTCAATAAAGTACTGATCAATGTAGACTGAATCAGACAGGATTTCATTAATGTACTTAACAATGTAGATTGAATCAGGCTAGACTTTATCAATATACAAAACATTGTAGACTTAAACAGGCTGGATTTCATTAAATTACTTATCAATGTAGACTGAATCAGACTGGATTTCATTAATGTACTTAACAATGTAGATTGAATCAGGCTAGACTTTATCAATATACAAAACATTGTAGACTGAATCAGTCTGGATTTCATTAAATTACTTATCAATGTAGACTGAATCAGACTGGATTTCATTAATGTACTTAACAATGTAGATTGAATCAGGCTAGACTTTATCAATATACAAAACAGGCTGGATTTTATCAACTTAGAAAACGATGTAAACTGAAACTGTTTGGAATTTGTTAATCTAGTCACAATGTAGAGTGAATCAGGCTGGAGTTTATCAATTTATAAGACAATGTAAATTGAAATAGCCTGAATTTTTTCAACATAGAAAATGATGTAGGCTGAAACAGGCTGGATTTTGTCAATTCACAAAACATATAGACTAAATAGGGTGGACTTGTCAATCTAGAAAATATTTGTTGTATTTTGTCAGCCTGCAAAACATTTTATTACAAAGTAATTGCAAGTGTTTGTTTTTGGGTTTCAAGGACATTGCTGTATTGGATGTTACTCCCAATAAAACATCATGCACTTTGGTATCTATAAATGATTTTTTAGGTACCTTATTCAAAACAGTATTAAGTATATTCGTGGTAGATAAAAATATAAATGTTTTGAATAAACAAAAAAATTTGAGTAATATTGATAAATTCCTTCTGATGTAGCACTATGTTATAAGAAATTTCAGAAAAAAAAAACTTGAAGTAAAGTTTTTTTTTGGTGTACAAAACTTGAAGATAGCTTTTATATGTGGAAACATCTGTTAGCTGAGTTCTTGCACAGATCTTAAAATATCACGTTGATAAATGGAAACATCGGCACATGTAGATCTTGTAAGTCGAGTTGTTCAAAACTTGAAAATATCATTGATAACTGGACCAATTGTTGGTTGAGATGTTGCAAAGGAAATATCTGCTGAAGCTTTTTGCCAAACACTAATCATAGCAGAACCGCCTGGAAAATGATCTATAGGAAATAGTACAGCTTATAAAAAGAAACTTGTTTTATATTGTTGAAAGTGTCATTGGGTTAGGTCATTTTCAATAACAAAATTTCATAGAAATATTTTACTTTAAATTTAAGCAGTTTATACTTTTGACCAAATATCTCCCATCAGCAGTTAAAATTATATTTTTATTTCCCAAAATATGTAAATATGTCAGCAATATTACAGTACTACACAATATCAGTAATCTTTTTATGTAATCACAACTGTTTTGAAGCTGTTTTAAAGCAGTCTTGGTGGTTTAATTTGATTTGAAATTAAAGTGAACATGTTAAGTAGTAGTAGTTATTTTTTATTTTGTTACATACGTAGACATTTTTTAATGTAAACATAGTTAAATTTCATGAAAGGTCAGGTCATGATTGAGGTAATCATACAGCTGCTAGTTTATGTATTCATTTAAAGTTATTTTACATTAATTACAACTGTTTATTACAGAACCATGTACCTCTTGGGCTACATTCCTAAAGACAGCAGACTGTATTTAGGTGATAAAGAACTTAATGTTGTTTCTTATTCACTATTGCTTTCTGTCTTGGAGTACCAGACAGCTGTGATGCGAAGAGACTTTGAGACTGCAGATAAAGTTCTTCCCACAATTCCTAAGGAACATAGAACTCGTGTAGCACACTTTCTGGAAAAGCAGGCTAGTGAAGTGTTTTATGTTTATTGTTGTTCATTTTAATAATATGAGGAAATGTGTGTAGATTACTCATGCTTAGCAAATTCCTGTGCACATCTCTGATGCACTCGAGTATGGAACCACATTATGCTAACATAATTATAAATTGGCAAACAATGATTTATGAGAATAATAAAATGGTTTATTTGTGGGGGACAGAACACAATTCAATGTTCTGTCAAAATATGTAGTATGCTCCCTCCAAAATAAATCACTTCATTATGCTTGTAAATTGTTGTTTATGAATTTATTACATCTCTGACATCTTTACTTAGTATTTTTATGGTAAGTTTTCATAAGCCTTACATACATTATAATGTTTTTACAAAGGGTATACTTTAGTCATAATTTAAAATATAGATACACAAGTTTTATAAAGTTCTAACATTGCAAATAAACTAGATCTTTCTGAAACAAATACCTCTTAACACAGAATACCTATCTTCCTCAGCTCTTCCATATGTTCTGCCAAAGAAACTTGCATGCCACCAGCACTGTGAAAACTCCCACCAAATCTCAGCTGAAACCACGTAAAGTTGTGCTACTGCATGATGTAGCAGAACCCTCCACCAATAGGAGTGTGTGACCCACCTCCATGTGCAATGACTCCTCCTGCATTTTACACTTATGAATCCTCATTTTTCTCCTCGAGACTTTATTGACCAGATGTGTTAAAAGTTCTTGTCGGAGTTCAATGTAATGAGATTTGCATTGTTAACGAAACTTTGATTTTCCTTTTCCTTAGCTTTTCTTTCTAAAACCTTAATATTTTATCATGACTTCTTGAATGATGGTAATTTATAACACGGGCCTGTGAAATTAAACTTCATATAAGTTGTTTTGGTTTTAATAACAGATTTTCCATAACTCAGCTACGCAGATTTTGAAAATAATATTCATTTTTTTCTATCACGTAAGGATTTTTTTACAAATTGGGAAGAAGAAAAATTAGATCAAATTATTATTTCATTTACCACAACGAACATTTTTTATTATTATTATGTTTGTTAACAAAAATACAAACAAACTGAAGAAAAGGGAAGAATTTGTTTTTGGCTATTATCTATACACTTCTGTGCCTGTTTTCAACATTTGTCAGGAACTTTCTTATTGACAAACCAACTCTCTTGGCCAGTCCTTATTCTGTCAGCGGAGTACCCTCTGCACCCCCAGATCTTTTGTGGGGTTTACTCTTGGTTTTACACATTCCTCCTTGCCAGTTGCCACCCCCATCCTTTTTTATTCTTTATTCCAGGCTTCCACTCTTACAGTCCTCTATTCCTCTTCTGTCATTTTTCTCATCCAGGCCTAGTTTTACTTCTTTCTCTATACCTTCTCGCTAATTTGTCTCATCCTTCCATACCTTGGATTTACACACTACTATCCTTCTTGGTCCTTTTTTTGGCACCACTCAGACCATCTTTGCCTTGATGAGCTTGTTTAATAGACCCCCTCCTCCCCTCTTCATTATCTTCTCTCTTTCTTGATTTGCACTTTCACACTTCCCTTTTCATTGAGGGTTATTTTCCCTCCGCCCTCATATTTGGAATTTTCCCAGTCTGTTGCCTATCAGATCAGACTTTCTACAACTGTGATGTTATTCTCATCACATTCTTCTTATCCTTCCTCTGTATTTGTCTATCACCTTTGGTGGTGGATCTTTTGTCACTGGTCTTTCCACCATCCATTTCCTCCAAGCAATAATTCTGTGCACCTCCTTTATTTCTTTTTTACCAGCCTGGGAAAGGAGAAAAGTCATGAACATGGCCCTTCTTAGTTGTCGATTGGCCATGTCCATGACTTTTCTCCTTTCCCAGTATCAAGATGTGTTTCTTACCTCATCCTTTTTGTTCTGTTCAGCTCCTTCACTCTCCTCTATTCTCTTTGCCCTGCTCCCTTGCTTGACTGAGACCTTGCTGGAATTTTGCTCAATTCTATATATGCCCTCATTCAAGCTATTGCCTTTCTGCCCTTTACCATCTCTCTCTTCTGATTTATTTCTTCCTGTTGTTTCCTCTGATTGCCTTGTTTTGATGTCTATCCTCTAGGTGCATCTCACACCCTCTTCCACTACACTTCTCCTTTCCCTTCTTCCTCTTACTTCAACCACTTGGGGGGTAAACCATACTTATTTCCTACCTCTCTTCCTTCCACCTCTGTTCTGTTGGACCGTTCAGACCTGGTTTGGCTTCCGTGTCTTGTTAGACAGTTCTGTGTGCTGTATCATGGTCCTCGTGTTTTAAGGGTCTTCATCATCTTCTGTCCCTATCCTGGGATCCCTATTTTCATGAACCTTTTTCTTTTCCAGGATGTGCCCATCTTCAGTGATGTGTTTGTCTTGGGATATTGATGCTTGTATTCTATTCATCACCTTTTCATTTTCCTCCACCTCATCTTTGCCAGCACTTAGGCAAGCTTTTCCAGGCAGGAATGTTGACTGTCTTTACACATCCCTTTCCATTTCTATACCTTCTGGCATGTTTTACCTCCTGATGGTTTTTTGCTTCCACAGGTCTCCATTCTTCCATTGCTTCACCATCTTTGAGTAGAATGTGTACCATTTCCCTTTATGGACCCTTTTGTCATTCAATGGTATCCCACTAGGCAGCTAATGTTACCTCCCATGGTATACTTACTTAAAACCTACATTGAGCTAGGATAACAGAAAGTTCTCATACCATATGCCCTGTCTCTATAAGTGCCCATTGTGAGATGGGGTGTACCACAAGACCACTTGAGGTTTCCTTGTGGTATGTCCTTATATATATATTTTGATATGTTTAAACCATTGAAAAATGACTGTTTTTTCTCACCCAGAAACATTTCAAGTGTTTCACTGTTGATATAACCAAAGTTGAACTTTTGTGATTATTAATTACACTTAATAAGAACAATCTTATATTGAGTTTTATTGAAATCATGTAAGTACTTGAATTTGAAAGCTGTAATCCCAGAGCCTTAAACAAACAAACAAAAAATGTCCCTTAAATATCCTGAAATGTTTGATGAGAGTGAAAGGCTCTGGGATTGTATTGTAATATAACATTTCTTAAAATTCTGCACTTACCTAGTTGTTTTGTAAAGAGGAACAAATACAGTAGACTTTCAAAAATAAAATTCTACGCATTAATAGTTACCATGTTGTATATCTAAACTGTTATAATTATTAAAGTGAACATTTGATTATTTTTAAAACACTCCCAAGTTTGTTCCTAGAAATTTGTTCACATTCGCATTTGTTCTACACATTAATAGTTGCCATGTTGTATATCTAAACTGTTATAATTATTAAATTGAACATTTGATTATTTTTAAAACACTCCCGAGTTTGTTCCTAGAAATTTGTTCACATTCGCATTTGTTCTACACATTAATAGTTGTCATGTTGTATATCTAAACTGTTATAATTATTAAAGTGAACATTTGATTATTTTTAAAACACTCCCGAGTTTGTTCACATTCACAAACTCTAAATATATGTAACGAGTTTCTGCATATAATACTTTTATGAAAAGCTTTAATGGTTTGCAGTTGAAAGACTTAAATAGATGACAGGTGTTTTAAGATTTGTAAAGAGTGATTCAGGTGAGTTACAGGTAGCCTTGTAGTATCAAATGTGAATTAAAGACAGTCCTGATCGCACAAATCCTGTTTTCTGGGCTGAATATTTATATACAAGTAACTAATTTCCCTCAAGAAGCTTAAAATATTTCTCATTCCTGCATTATTGTCATCTCGGACATTCACTGTTAATTGTGTGTTCATTAAATTAAAAATATACCTGACATACCCCATCCCTTTATATGTTGTTTCAAGATAATGATTATGGTGAAGGGGGGATAGAAAATTAACTACATTAGTTTAGCCTGTCTTGGTATTAATGTTGTTAATAATTGATTTATTCCATGCTTTTTTGGCTGGGAATCCATATAAATGAGTTTCTAGCTGTAAATGTAAGCTATAATTCTATAGAAATAGTTTGAAACCTCCTGTAGTTATTCAGTTATTTTGTAAATGTAACATGCTGAAGCTAGTCAAGTTTGACGGTTTAGCAGAAATTGTTTTTAAAGCTCTTTGATAGTTGACATACAGAACTGGGTATAAACAGTTTAAAGTTTAGTTGTATAGTCAGCATGGTTTCACTAGAGGAAAACCTTGCATTAGTAATCTTTTGACATTCTTTGAATAGGTTACTGCTTATATAGATAAGGGTATGAGTGTGAATTTGGTGTATCTGGATTTTCAGTGTCACATTAAAAAATTATTTCTCTAGGTGTAAGGGATAGGTTGGGTCATTTGATATAAAACAGGTTGAATGAAAGAAAGCAGAAGGTTGCTATAAATGGAGTTTAGTCAAACTGGATTAATATCACATAATAACATCAGCGCTTAGTTTTAGAACCTTTGCTTCTCCTGATTTACAACAATGACATAGATAGGAAAATGGTCAAAAATTATTTAAATTTGCTGATGATATTAAAATATTGAGTGTTGCTGGGTGTGAGGAAGACACTGCTGTTTTACAAAGAGATTTGGATTATTTGCCGAGTTGGACAAATAAACAGCAAATAGTTTAAATATAATGAATGTTAGGTAATGTTTGTAGGATATTAAGTTAAATTATAAATATAATTTTTATAGAAATAACCCAGGCCATGTCATTGCGTTTGTTGACTCACATTCAAAATTTTACTGAACTGCTATTTCATGAATTTATGTCAATAAGTTTGGTATCAAACTGTAGATTATTATTCAAATTTTAGTATTATACCTTACTCAATTTCTTAATTTAAAACCAAATATTAAAAAACAGATAAACATTGATTTTTGTGTGTCTTGTGGTATGTTGAATGCAGCACTGGTTCAAATTAGATGTTTGTGATGTCAAAATACTAAGTCTACAGTTTCATACAAATTAGGAACTCGAATTACAGATATTGACAAGCTAGAATATAAAATAAGGTCTTATCTTTTCTATTTGCTAAGATATTACTCACGTAATAAATCAAACACAGTGGCACCCCACCCACCTATTTTCATTTTTTGGTAATGCTCCCTTATATATACCTACTTCTATATATGACATGAACAACCAATCGGAAGCTCAGAATGTCCCCTAGTGGCTTTCTCAGCCATTTTAACATGTTTGGATGCCATTTCTTTCTTTCGAACCAAGATTTCAATAAGGTTGGTTGTGTCTTTAGTCTGCTCAAAATTTCAAATTTTTTTAGACTGAAATACAGCTTAGTTACTAAGCTTGATAAATTATAGTGGAATTCTAAGGTACTGATGTAGTAATTTATGCTTTTTTAGTTATTCAAAAGTATATATAAAACCTAAAAAAAGTATTTTGTTTCATATCCTCCATGTGCAAAATTTTAAAAAGCTTAGCAACCTGTGTCAACATGTTTGCTTTACTACTTTATTTACTGTTCTGTATTTTGAGAAAAACAAGTTTATGAACTTGTTACTAAATAGTAATAATCTATATACATATATAATGTATAATAATTGAAATGGGACTGTATTTTACAAAATACTAGTCTACTAAAACACAGCCAAGACAGGTCACTTTGTAAAGACTAAAGGTCAGTTTTATATTATTGAGTGCACATGTGCTGCATCATTGTCACTTCTGTATTGTTAGTAAGGCATGGCTGAAAGGGCAATGTAATAAAAATAATAAATATATATATATATATATGTGTGTGTGTGTGTATAATTTTATGAGATTTAAGCTATTTAGTCTAAACATTTATGTTTTCATGTTATAACTTGTAGTTATTCTAGAATGAAAAAGGCAAAATTTATATTTATTTCTTAATTTTTTTAGTGTGGTTACAAGATTGGTCAAATTGACCAAATGTGTACAGAGATTCCTTACTGAAAATAACACACAAAATATAAAGTTTTTCTTAAGAAACATTTGATAACTATCTGGACATTATAAGGGTTTTGCATATGAAATTTGAAAATTTTCTGATGCATAAAAGTATTTTTAATCTTAAAATGAAAATTACTTTGCATGTTGGATAGGCAAAGTGTGAAAAGAAAAAAAGGCATGAGAGAATCATTGCTTTACAAACCTTAAGATTTGATATTAAAAAATTTATATCTTGCATATGAAATCATTGTAATGTTTACTGCCACATTTCATTACCATACTCTTACTAATTTAAAAGTTATAGCATGAAAACTATAACAAGCGCAAAATGGTTATGAGGTCGGTCCCAGGGACTGAGCCTGGGTTGGAAGAGGTGATAGTTTTATGGAAGAGAAAAATCTTGATGCTGTGGATGGGATGGTCTAGAAAGACCAACATATATAATCTAATGACATCTGGTCTGATATTAAGTTGGATATGAATCAGGTGATAGTTTTATGGAGGAGAAAAATCTTGATGCTGTGGATGGGATGGTCTAGAAAGACCAACATATATAATCTAATGACATCTGGTCTGATATTAAGTTGGATATGAATCAGACAATCATATAGCATTTCCTTTAACCCTATTGACACAGGCATCCTTTCCTGCACATGTCGCAAGGTTTCAGTAACTTACATTCAAAACTGTATTAAACTACCTTTTGTTTATGTTATACCAATTAGTGTAGTGTAATATCTTAGCTAATAATCCATATTTTAATAGTATATAAGTTTTAAATTTTATAAGGCAATATTTTAAAAAATCTTTCATTTACCCTGATGTGATAAAGGTGACATATTTTCTCTGGGCATCTCTTCATTTCTATTTTATCCACTACCCCTCAAATAAGTATGAAATTAAATGTAAATTACTCACTATAAAATCGTTGTTGCTCAGACAAACCATAATTTTTATAGCCTTTAATTTTGTTTGGTTACAGAGCTATCAAATATAATATCAGACCCCTCTTGTCACACCCACCAATCACATCCTGTTTCTCAGGATTTGTTAATAGTTCTCTCTTACATTTAATTATATATATATATTCTATAACCAATAGAAAGCCAAGGTTTTCATCTATCAATTTATGTTTTATATTACATTGTTTCCTGAATGGAGAATTGTCAGTTTCACTGTTATTACAAGCTTCATTTCCACGGGAAAGATAACGACTGGCTTGGATGAATTTGTAATGTCTCTTGTTGAACAGTTAGAAAAACAGAAAAATTGTGAGAGTTAGGGGAAATTGTCAACTTTTTGCATGTTATTATTTTATGTTCTTTGGTGCATTATTTAATTAGATAAAAATTATTTAGTGCATTACAACCATTAGTATAAAGAAAAAAGTAGGGTTAAGTGTTATCGACAGTTTATGGCAGAAAAAAAGAATATTCGGGTATGTACTTTATTTCTTGTTTTTCGTGTTTATTCTTTATTTATTATTATAAAAGTTACTAAGATGTAAAAATTGGGATCTGTTTTGATTAGTTACGGTTAGATTAGGTAAAATAAATAATAGTAATATAATAAAAAATGTTTCACGAGGCACGCACACGAACAGCTGGTGAGTAATGTAATTCAATAGCGTATTGTGAGCTGCACATTCCTTGAGTGATTTACAACTTATAATGGCACAAATAGTAGTTAGCCACAATTCAAAGGGCAATAAAACAATAAAATTTAATTATAGATAGATGTATACTGCTATGAGTTTAAAGTTACTTGGGATAAACAATTGTAGTGTCATGTTACAATCTGAAGTCATTCTAGAAAGAGAAAAGGGTAATTTAGACTTTTGATATTTTTGTGGTGGTTACGAGGTTGGTCAAATTGACCAACCTTATATAGAGTTAGGGTAGAGAAAATAACAGATAAAAATATAAAGTTTTACTGAAAACAAACATTTGAAATGTATTTAGGAGATTTTATAGAATACATAAATGAAATTTGGGATTTTTGAGATGAAGAAAAAGTATTTTTAACATGAAAATCACTTTGCACACAGACTATTCCAAACAAATATTCGATATATTCACAGACAGACCTTTTTGTATGTGAAAGACTTGTAATGTTAGCTGAAAGACTGCCAAATTTATATTAAATATATTAAAAGTTAGTAGTATAAAATCTATGAAGACTAAACGAGTACAAATAGGTCACGTGGTCGGTTAAATAGACCGAGCTCGTGTTGAGAGAGTTAAGGGATTACCTCATGGCTTATGCACACATGATACTACTTGCACATGTTTCACACATAATAGGTATTGCATCTTCTAGCTCATTGATGCTGTGTACTAGCTTCTCAGTATAGTAGAAGTTGTCCTGGTATTAAAGAGTGGGAGGACTGGTAGTCATAATAAATAAAGTTGCCCACCTTGTGTTGCCACAGGTGGTCACATAGTGGCAACGACAACAACAGCTAGCACGATCCAAACAACAGGGATTGGGGACATAACATCCTTATTAACTTTTCAAAGAACAGTGACAAAGGAACTAGGTTAATATTATAGTATAATGAAGTGATAGATCATGCCCATTGCACATTTTTTTTAACAGCTTGAAAATATCCAAATCCAATAGGATATTTTCAACTAAAACTACTGTTTGTCCCATTTTTAATATTATGAAAACCCATTTAAATTGCTTTTGTTTTAATATTATCAGGATGTACTAAATTACTTCAGTACTAACTTCTGTAAAATCTAATGAAAATGTTCAGCCAAATATTGTTTAAAAAACTTGTATAAAGTCCAGAAATAGGTAAGCTATACTTTTCTGCATTAAAGCTTCAATGAATATTAAATAATGTACATCTAATACAGGTAGTTCTTGATGTGATCATATTTGTAATTTGCTCTTCATACTTTTGTGATTTTTAATTCACTTTGTATGTTAGTTTTTTATAACAATTTTTTGTGCTAAGTCACAAACTAGAGGAAACTGATTTCTTTCTTACAGGGTTTCAAGGCCCAAGCCCTTGCTGTCTCAACAGACCCAGAACACAGATTTGAACTGGCTCTGCAGCTTGCCGATTTAAAGATAGCATACCAACTTGCCCAGGAAGCTCAGGTGTGTGCATACAGTTCTTTTACCTCATGTTGGACACATGAACAGTGAAAAGATATACCACTTGTTAAGGAATACAAAAAGGTGTAATTTTAAAAGGAACATTTCTGTGGCAATATCTTTCTAAAAGCATTGAGGATATCAAAATATTGTACATGAAAAACAAGACAGCTAGCATGAGAAAATCAAAGTTGGGCCAGAGTATTGACACCAGAACCAAACCTCACTAAATATCTACAGCCAGTTGTGGGCATGATAATTACCCCCATAACTATTGAGGTAATTATAAGGATGTTATTAGTGAAGCCAAAGTTGAAATACCTGTGAATAGAAAGCATCCTTAATTTTTACAATTGTAAAACACCCAACCTTCACCCATAGACTGTTATTATAAAATAACAAGAACTAAAAAAACCTGACCTAAATAATTGAACACCCAACCTCCACTTGAAGACTGTTATTAAAAAATAATAATAACTAAAAAGTACCTAAATAATTGAGTAATAATTGAACACACATTGAATATTCTTGCAAAAACTAAAAAAAACCTACCCAAACAATTCAGTAATAATTGAACATCTATTCATCTTCCACTCATACACTATTATTTTTCTTGATAAACATTCTTTCTTACTGTAAACAGCTTACTTTTTTTTAAAACAACAACAATTAAGTGTGTTTCAGTAAATATAAATGACTGATATACCTTTTTAATAATACTACTGATGATTTATTTACCACCAGTTTACTGAAATCAACCAAACTGCAACAATAAATCCCTTAGAAACGTGTTTATTACTGAGCAAGCCTCAGGTCATAAAACATAATTCAATGTTCAGATAACAATAAATCCCTTAGAAACATGTTTATTACTGAGCAAGCCTCAGGTCATAAAACATAATTCAATGTTCAGATATGGTTTTAAATGCAAAAAAAAGGTGTTAATGCATCATAAGCCTAGCATATCTGTAAGCATCTTTTTATCACATACAAAATGTAAACTCATTTTGAAATTAAAACAAAAAATTTTAACCCTCCAAAAGACACAATATGAAATTTGAACATTCACATGCACACAAAAGTTAATGGTTATTCCTATTGTGCTTGCAGATTTTTCAAAAAGGAAATATACCATAATTTTAATATCTTCTGTATGTTATATATACGTGG